AAACACCATACTTAAGCATGGTTTTACACCAAACAGGGACTATTGCCATACTAAAACACCATACTTAAGCATGGCTGTACACCAAACAAGGTCTATTGTCATACTAAAACACCACACTTAAGCATAGCTGTACACCAAACAGGGACTATTGCCATACTAAAACACCATACTTAAGCATGGCTGTACACCAAACAGGGACTATTGTCATACTAAAACACCATACTTAAGCATGGCTTTACACCAAACAGGGACTATTGTCATACTAAAACACCATACTTAAGCATGGTTTTACACCAAACAGGGACTATTGTCATACTAACACACCATACTTAACCATGGTTTTACACTAAACAGGGACTATTGCCATACTAAAACACCATACTTAACCATGGCTGTACACCAAACAAGGTCTATTGTCATACTAAAACACCATACTTAAGCATGGCTGTACACCAAACAAGGTCTATTGTCATACTAAAACACCATACTTAAGCATGGTTTTACACCAAACAGTGACTGTTGTCATACTAAAACACCATACTTAAGCATGGTTTTACACCAAACAGGGACTATTGTCATACTAAAACACCATACTTAAGCATGGCTGTACACCAAACAGGGACTATTGTCATACTAAAACACCATACTTAAGCATGGCTGTACACCAAACAGGGATTGTTGTCATACTGAAACACCATACTTAAGCATGGCTGTACACCAAACAGGGACTATTGTCATACTAAAACACCATACTTAAGCATGGCTGTACACCAAACAGGGACTATTGTCATACTAAAACACCATACTTAAGCATGGCTTTACACCAAACAGGGACTATTGTCATACTGAAACACCATACTTAAGCATGGTTTTACACCAAACAGGGACTATTGCCATACTAAAACACCATACTTAAGCATGGCTGTACACCAAACAAGGTCTATTGTCATACTAAAACACCACACTTAAGCATAGCTGTACACCAAACAAGGTCTATTGTCATACTAAAACACCATACTTAAGCATGGCTGTACACCAAACAGGGACTATTGTCATACTAAAACACCATACTTAAGCATGGTTTTACACCAAACAGGGACTGTTGTCATACTAAAACACCATACTTAAGCATGGTTTTACACCAAACAGGGACTATTGTCATACAAAAACACCATACTTAAGCATGGCTGTACACCAAACAAGGTCTATTGTCATACTAAAACACCATACTTAAGCATGGCTGTACACCAAACAGGGACTATTGTCATACTAAAACACCATACTTAAGCATGGTTTTACACCAAACAGGGACTGTTGTCATACTAAAACACCATACTTAAGCATGGTTTTACACCAAACAGGGACTATTGTCATACAAAAACACCATACTTAAGCATGGTTTTACACCAAACAGGGACTGTTTTCATACTAAAACACCATACTTAAGCATGGCTGTACACCAAACAGGGATTATTGTCATACTAAAACACCATACTTAAGCATGGCTGTACACCAAACAGGGACTATTGTCATACTAAAACACCATACTTAAGCATGGCTGTACACCAAACAGGGATTATTGTAAATACACACTGTGTTGTACTGATGAGTCTATGTATATCCATAGTAAGAATTTGTCAGACAGAATATTTCAGTGTCACAAAAAACTGACAATACTAAGATAATAAAAAATACAATGTGTTTGGTGTATACTGATTTTAGGATATTGTTTTAGGAGGCTTAGGGTGTTTATTCATGTGTTTCACAATTCTACTTTAAAATCAGTGTGTTATGGATTGAATCTCTTGTGGGCTTTCTGATGACAACTGATATAAGAGGGTGGATTTTTAAGTCTTTTGGTAAAATATTTGTAAAGGAAAACAGTGTATGTTTGGGAATAACATTCTTGTTCTCTCTGATACAAACCATAGCATCAGACTGTCTGCTTCATCATCGACCTACAATAACAGAATATTCGTGGTGGCCATCAACACCCTAATTACATTCTGATCAGCTGATCTAATCTGAGCAGGGTTTGATCAGCTCTTGGTACAGCGTCTGCATACTAAAAGTCCATGTACTACAGCACACCACAGACTGGTAAATAGATTGGTCAGTTTATAGGTCAGTAGACTGGTCAGTGGACTGGTCAGTTTATAGGTCAGTAGACTGGTAAATAGACTGGTCAGTTGATAAGTCAGTAGACTGGTAAATAGACTGGTCAGTTGATAGGTCAGTAGACTGGTCAGTCAACTGGTCAGTTGATAGGTCAGTAGACTAGTAAATAGATTGGTCAATTGATAGTACAGTAGACTGGTCAGTGGACTGGTCAGTTGATAGTTCAGTAGACTGGTCAGTTGATAGGTCAGTAGACTGCTAAATAGATTGGTCAGTTGATAGGTCAGTAGTCTGGTCAGTAGACTGGTCAGTGGACTGGTCAGTTGATAGGTCAGTAGACTGGTAAATAAATTGGTCAGTTGATAGGTCAGTAGACTGATAAATAGACTGGTCAGTTGATAGGTCAGTAGACTGGTAAATAGACTGGTCAGTTGATAGGTCAGTAGACTGGTCAGTGGACTGGTCAGTTGATAGGTCAGTAGACTAGTCAATAGATTGGTCAGTTGATAGTACAGTAGACTGGTCAGTTGACTGGTCAGTTGATAGTTCAGTAGACTGGTCAGTTGATAGGTCAGTAGACTGCTTAATAGATTGGTCAGTTGAAAGGTCAGTAGACTGGGTCAGTAGACTGGTCAGTGGACTGGTCAGTTGATAGGTCAGTAGACTAGTAAATAGACTGGTCAGTTGATAGGTCAGTAGACTGGTCAGTGGAATGGGTCAGTAGACTGGTCAGTGGACTGGTCAGTTGATAGGTCACTAGACTGGTTAGTAGACTGGTCAATTGATAGTTCAGTAAACTGGTGAGTTGATAGGTCAGTAGACTGCTAAATAGATTGGTCAGTTGATAGGTCAGTAGACTGGTCAGTGGACTGGTCAGTTGATAGGTCAGTAGACTGGTCAGTGGACTGGTCAGTTGATAGGTCAGTAGACTGGTCACTGGACTGGTCAGTTGATAGGTCAGTAGACTGGTCAGTGGACTGGTCAGTTGATAGGTCAGTAGACTGGTCAGTAGACTGGTCAGTTGATAGGTCAGTAGACTGGTAAATAGATTGGTCAGTTGATAGGTCAGTAGACTTGTAAATAGACTGGTCAGTTGATAGGTCAGTAGACTGGTCAGTGGACTGGGTCAGTAGACTGGTCAGTGGACTGGGTCAGTAGACTGGTCAGTGGACTGGTCAGTTGATAGGTCAGTAGACTGGTTAGTAGACTGGTCAGTGGATTGATCTGTTGATAGGTCAGTAGACTGGTCAGTGGACTGGTCAGTTGATAGGTCAGTAGACTGGTCAGTGGACTGGTCAGTTGATAGGTCAGTAGACTAGTAAATAAACTGGTTATTTGAATGGTTATCTGTTAACTTGCTGAAATTATTCTAGATATGACCTGTTTTGGCTATATGACACTAATGCTAATATTTTCTCAGTTAAAAATCACCATGTTGGAAGGACCTTAGGAATATACTTTTCACAAAACCTTTTGATATCTTTATGTCCTTAAATTGTCACAAAATTACTTGGGCTTTTAGCTTTTACCCTGTCTGTCCATTTCTCACATTGCTGTATGAAGACTTTTGATTTAGGTCCATCAGTAATGAGAGAACACAACCTATGTCCCCTAAAACAGTGTCAAATAGGCACACTGTGTTTGTTTATAGTCTGAAGAGAGGTATCTCTGTTGAATTTCCTTGGACTCAAACTCACCTCTATGTGTAAGGAGATGAGAAACTTGTTACTTATTACCAGTTCAGAATGAAATGTTTCCAAAAAACAAAACGGAAACATTGGTTCTAGACAGAATATGTCTTGATGTGATGATTATAATGACATTGGTGAAGTACCTTACTTGTAGAGATGGGCAGTAGACACAGATTTACTTGTGTTGGACATGGGAAGCACTTTAGATAAAACAAGTTTTTAGGGGTTAGTTTGTGAAAGTTTATTTGTACAGTATAACTGGAGAAAACTGAGTGTTCCACAGTTTGACTGTAATTAATCCAATGGTCTGCCAGATAGAATATCAAATGTTAACTTAATATCAGATATATTTATCTGTCATATTTGTAACAAGAATTGTACTGTATATAATGATCTAATTAGATAAGCATACAGAGGATCTCATGTATGAGAAAACAGAATCACTGTGACCTTTATTGTCTTTCTCCACCAATCAAGGAATTGCACTCACTGGTCACTTTGGATAAAAGCTTAAGAGCCTGATTGCCTGCAAATCTTGACCACTCAATAGGCATGCATCAAACCATGTACAGTTAAAATTGCCACATTTGAATGTCACCTGCAAAAGTTGTTTCAGTTAAAGCAATGGTAAATATACAGTTTTTATACGCCGCCGGAAGCGGTCGTATATTGGCGTCATCTTCTACGTCCGTCCGTCTGCGCGTCTAGGCGTACGTCCATTTCTTGTGAATGCAACTCCTCCTAAAATAATCATCAAATTTTCACGAAACTTGCTCAATGTCACCACTACAATGGGTAGATGTGCATGAAGTTGCGATTTTTCGGTTCTTTGATTTTTGTAAGATTTATGCCATTTTCAACTTTGTGTCTGTAGCTTGCTCTTAGTAGAGCTTTGTGAACGCAACTCCTACTTAACTAATGATCAGATTTTCACGAAACTTGCTCAATGTCACTACTACAATGGGTGGATGTGCTGGAAGTGGCAATTTTACAGTTTTTCTTTATCTTTATATTTTGTGGCTGTGTATATTGTGTCCACGGCACTCTTGTTATTGATAGATATGCACAGAAATTAGAAAGACACTTCATTTTCCTGATATGTAAGACTTCAGTTGTATGTATGTAGGACAAAATGATTCATGTTAAGTATTGGAAAGTATGTGTAAAGTGTCTGTGTTTCTATACACACAGGTCCCCTACCATGGCCGGAGGACTGTTCTCCATCAGTCGAGAATATTTCACAAAAATTGGCACCTACGATCCAGGAATGGACATTTGGGGCGGTGAGAACCTGGAAATGTCCTTTAGGGTAAGAACAAAAATTGAAAACCACTCCTGAACATAGAAGTTAATTTATTGAACCTTTCATGGATGGAAAATATCAGGGTTCATGAATGCAGGCACAAATGGAATGGAATGGTATATTTATTACTAAAGATACTATAGATTTACCTTTTGTATTCATCCAACAAATTGTGATAATTCTATGTCTTTTAAGAAGCCCATTTATATATATCTATTTGGTTTAAGTTCATTGCCAGTAAATGCTATTGTCTTGTTACAAGTCCACTCTCTGAGTCAGATCTAATGCACTTGACCCTAAGACTCAATGTTGACTCACCTGGCCCAAAGGGCATCAACTTTTTTCCTTAAACAATGTCTTCTCAATAAAAAATGGACCAAACATTTCGATATTTGGCTAGTATGTTCCTATGATGAAAATGATGAAGTTTTTGGAAAGAAACAACCTTGACTTATATTCAATGTCACAGGGGTCAGATTTGTAAAAGCATTTGAACAACTTCATCTCATGAATTAAAGGCTTAGTTGCAATATAGTATGTTCCTTGGATGCAGCTTGACAAAGTTGTCAAAAAGAAATGACCCCGGTCAAATTTGGTGGGGCTTGCCTCTTGTTGAATCGTGTATTAATTGTCCAGAGGAGACAATACTGTTATATTTGGACCAGCCTTTCTTCAAGAAACAAAATGGTAGAGGGTTGAATATTTTTGCAGATATAACTAATCTGTATGATTCTCACTCACATCTGATGTTGACCAATCAGACAGGTTAATGATAAGTCTAGAGGCCTGACCCCAATTTGGCTTTAGCTTTGTCTCAGTTAATCAGTGGTTAGTGAAAAATTCCATGTTCTCACTTGAAAATACAGGGACATTCAAAGCAAAATCAATATTAAAAGATATCAGTAAATCTACAACTGTGAAATGAAAAATGTTCCCAATTTTTGTTTAATTCATAATTGAAAAAATTCACTGACCACTGTTTAACTCTAACCAAGCTTTGAATAACTGGGCCTGTTATCATTTTGTTACAGTTTGTACCCACCCATCAGTAAACCATGACCTTTATAGTAGTTAACCTCCTGTCCAAACAATACCCCATTGCCCTGTAAGTCCCCCCATTGTTTTTTTGTCAGTTAGTGAAGAGTATCATTGGCGCCCTTTGTTTACCATAAGAGAAACAAAGTCATGGAATATGAATTTATACAAACATCTGTAAATAGCAATATGTATTTATCCTGTCCTCATTTGTAACCCCAGTTGTTCCAGTAAGAATGTCAGGCTAGTGTTGTTGTCAGCTTGTAGAATCTGCCCTGTGACATTAGAGCTGTCAGCAAATTCTTTAACATTCTCACAAAGTTTAGTAGAGAAAAGAGCTTGCCAACCTTACCTTGGTTAGATTTTGTAACATATGTACCAACAGCATTACATTCTAAATGTAGCCAAATCCTACATGTATACTTGAAGTCTAAAATTGGTTCTTGCTGAGCCAGTCGTAGGAATTTAGGGGGCTGACTTATGTATCATGACAAGAGACAATCACATACAGACAGAAATTAGTGTGAAACTTTGTCTTTGAATTGTATCTCTTTTGCACAATAATGACCATCTTTTTTAAAGCAAGCACATGCAATACAGATTTTTCTTGAATTCAATGGAACAGTTTTATGGCAGTGAATGAGATCTGTTACCGTAGCGACCAAATGAGAATAAACACAATTGCTCAATAACAAGAAGAGAATGTTTCTTGTGTTAGGTTTTACTGTAAAGCAGGGACCAAAAACACACGTCATATTAAATTTGTAGAAATATTTACGACCTCATACGGAGAGGTCACAGGATTTAACTAAAGGCCCTTGGGGGCACACAGCCATTTTTATGGTTCCAAAGGCTCACTCAATGGTTATTCACATATTTGTCTGACAATTTTTAACCCACGCCAAACATTTAGCCTGGGAGGAGACAATTTGGCCAAATTACCAGGTCTTGCGTGTCTAAGCTTATCATGTGGACACAATTGATGCTTAATAAAGAAGGTCTGGACTGACCTATACAGAAATCGTTATACAGTGTTTTTTCTTGGCCATAGTATAATCATCAAGAGAAAGGCAGCAAACTATTAATGAACAAAAATATTCCAGTTCTGTGTTTGGACAACAGATCCAAGTCTTTTCATGCATTGTTTCTTGTTCAATAAACTGATGGTATGTGTGACAGAGAAAGTGCTGAATTCTACAGTCAGCTCCTGAAAAATAAACAAAATAGTCCTGTTGAAATATTTGTCCTTGAAGATGCATCAGCATCTTAAATATAAACAGTGCTTTTTTATTTGAAAATCTAGACTTCCTTATGACATCCTTATGGAAATTTCTTTCAGGAGAGGTCATGGTTCAATGTCATATGACTTGGTGACTCATGAAGTAGTTGAAATTTGTATTAGTGCTATCTATACACAACAAATGCTGATGTTTTATTGACCTTTGACCTTTTACCCAGGTTTGGATGTGTGGTGGAACCCTGGAGATCATCCCCTGTTCGCATGTAGGTCACATCTTTAGGAAACGTAGTCCATACAAATGGAGGTCGGGGGTCAACGTAGTGAAGAAAAACTCCATCCGATTGGCTGAAGTCTGGATGGACGACTATAAAAATTATTATTATGAACGATTTAACAATGATCTGGTGAGTTTTGAAGCTAATATATTTATTTAAGCGAGCTTACTTTCCTTGATAATGGTATTTGATATGGACATATCATAGCATGCTTACAGCAAAATTTGATGTGTTTAAAGATACTTATCAGTTCCATTTTGTCCAAAAGATAATCACACAACACAGACTTTTTGAAAAAGAATTATGTTTGTCTTTGTTTTAACGAATTTTCTTAAACTAACTTGTCTGTGATTTAAAATGACATCTGTCTACAGGGTGATTATGGCGACGTTTCGGAGAGGAAGACTTTGAGGAAAAAATTAAACTGTAAATCATTTGACTGGTTTGTTAAAAACATATATCCTGATCTCTTTGTACCAGGAGAGGCAGTGGCATCAGGGGAGGTAAGCATGTTTTTCTTATGGTTACACGCAACAATCATCAAAATCATGGATAAAGGTGAATGTTGCACCAACATTGCGATTTGTTAGCATATCAGTAGAGGAGTCATATTTGTTGCAGATGTATTAAATGTACTAAAATGATAAACCCATGTTTAGAAACACTGTAAACATATAGTAACTTTACCTGTGAGGGTTATTTTCTCCTGGAAATCATGATCACAACTTTCCAGCTATCACATAACATGCTAATATAAGCCTGACATAAATAGCAGTAAAAGTATACTAAACAAGTGTTAGTTTTCTATAACAATAAAGCGTTTATCAAGTAATAAAATCATTTCAGGTACGTAACAAGGCCAAACCGATGTGTGTAGATAGCTCAGTGGACTCTCACAACTTCCACAAACCTGTCAACATGTGGCCATGTCACAACCAGGGAGGCAACCAGGTCAGTTTATAAAATGTTCCTTAATGATTAAATGAATTTATTTCATTCACATTGTTTTACATCAGCTTTAGTATTTTGTTACCAATTATATCAAATTTATGGAAGTTAGAAGTGCTTTTTTGTTGATTTCAGTACTGGATGCTGAGTAAAGGTGGTGAGATTCGCCGGGACGATGGGTGTCTGGATTATTCGGGTGGTGAAAGTGTGATTATCTACCCCTGTCATAGCCAGAAGGGTAACCAAGAGTGGGTGTATAGGGAGGTGAGTACAGTGAGTTGGTGTATAGGGAGGGTAACCAAGAGTGGGTGTATAAGGAGGTGAGTACAGCGAGTTGGTGTATAGGGAGGGTAACCAAGAGTGGGTGTATAAGGAGGTGAGTACAGCGAGTTGGTGTATAGGGAGGGTAACCAAGAGTAGGTGTATAGGGAGGTGAGTACAGCGAGTTGGTGTATAGGGAGGGTAACCAAGAGTAGGTGTATAGGGAGGTGAGTACAGCGAGTTGGTGTATAGGGAGGGTAACCAAGAGTGGGTGTATAAGGAGGTGAGTACAGCGAGTTGGTGTATAGGGAGGGTAACCAAGAGTAGGTGTATAGGGAGGTGAGTACAGTGAGTTGTTGTATAGGGAGGGTAACCAAGAGTAGGTGTATAGGGAGGTGAGTACAGCGAGTTGGTGTATAGGGAGGGGTAACCAGGTGTGGGTGTATAGGGAGGTGAGTACAGCGAGTTGGTGTATAGAGAGGTGAGTACAGCGAGTTGGTGTATAGAGAGGTGAGTACAGCGAGTTGGTGTATAGGGAGGGTAACCAAGAGTGGGTGTATAGGGAGTACAGCGAGTTGGTGTATAGGGAGGGTAACCAAGAGTGGGTATATAGGGAGGTGAGTACAGCGAGTTGGTGTATAGGGAGGGGTAACCAGGTGTGGGTATATAGGGAGGGGTAACCAGGTGTGGGTATATAGGGAGGGGTAACCAGGTGTGGGTGTATAGGAAGGTGAGAACAGTATGTTGGTTTATAGGGAGGGGTAACCAGGTGTGTGTGTTTAGTGAGGAGTAACCAGGTGTGGGTGTATAGTGAGGGGTAACCAGATGTGGGTATATAGGGAGAGTAACCAGGTGTTGGTGTATAGGGAGGGGTAACCAGATGTGGGTATATAGGGAGGGGTAATCAGGTGTGGGTATATAGGGAGGGGTAACCAGGTGTGGGTATATAGGGAGGGGTAACACAGTGTGGGTGTATAAGGAGGGGTAACCAGGTGTTGGTGTATAGAGAGGGATAACCAGGTGTGTATGTATAGGGAGGGGTAACCAGGTGTGGGTATATAGGGAGGGGTAACCAGGTGGTGGTGTATAGGGAGGGGTAACCAGGTGTGGGTATATAGGGAGGGGTAACCAGGTGGTGGTGTATAGGGAGGGGTAACCAGGTGGTGGTGTATAGGGAGGGGTAACCAGGTGTGGGTGTATAGGGAGGTGAGTACAGTGAGTTGGTGTATATGGAGGTGTAACCAGGTGTGGGTTTATAGGAAGGGCTAATCAGGTGTAGATGTATAGGGAGAGGTAACCAGGTGTGAATGTATAGGGAGGTGAGAACAGTGAGTTGGTGTATAAGAAGGTGAGTACAGTGAGTTGGTTTATAGAGAGGGATAACGAGGTGTGGGTGTATAGGGAGAGGTAGCCAGGTGTGGGTGTATAGGGCGGGGTAACCAGGTGTGGGTGTATAGGAAGGTGAGAACAGTATGTTGGTTTATAGGGAGGGTTAACCAGGTGTGTGTGTTTAGTGAGGAGTAACCAGGTGTGGGTGTATAAAGAGGTGAAAACACAGAGTGGTTACAAGGGAAGGTTACCAGGTGTGGGTGTTTAGAGAGGTGAAAACACAGAGGGGATACAAGGGAAGTTAACCAGGAGTGTGTGTATAGAGAGGTGAAAACACAGAGTGGTTAACCAAGAGTGTGTGTATAGAAAGGTGAAAACACAGAGTGGTTACAAGGGCAGGTAACCAGGAGTGTGTGTATAGAGAGGTGAAAACACAGAGGGGTTACAAGAGAAGGTAACCAGGAGTGTATGTATAGAGAGGTGAAAACACAGAGTGGTTACAAGGGAAGGTAACCAGGAGTGTGTGTATAGAGAGGTGAAAACAGAGAGTGGTTTCAAGGGAAGGTAACCAGGAGTGTGTGTATATAGAGGTGAAAACACAGAGTGGTTACAAGGGAAGGTAACCAGGAGTGTGTGTATAGAGAGGTGAAAACACAGAGTGGTTTCAAGAGAAGGTATCCAGGAGTGTGTATAGAGAGGTGAAAACACAGAGTGGTTACAAGGGAAGGTAACCAGGAGTGTGTGTATAGAGAGGTGAAAACACAGAGTGGTTACAAGGGAAGGTAACCAAGAGTGTGTGTATAGAGAGGTGAAAACACAGCGTGGTTACAAGGGAAGGTAACCAGGAGTGTGTGTATAGAGAGGTGAAAACACAGAGTGGTTACAAGGGAAGGTAACCAGGAGTATGTGTATAGAGAGGTGAAAACACAGAGTGGTTACAAGGGAAGGTAACCAGGAGTGTGTGTATAGAGAGGTGAAAACACAGAGTGGTTACAAGGGAAGGTAACCAGGAGTGTGTGTATAGAGAGGTGAAAACAGAGAATGGTTTCAAGGGAAGGTAACCAGGAGTGTGTGTATAGAGAGGTGAAAACACAGAGTGGTTACAAGGGAAGGTAACCAGGAGTGTGTGTATAAAGAGGTAAAAACATAGAGTGGTTACAAGGGAAGGTAACCAAGAGTGTGTGTATAGAGAGGTGAAAACAGAGAGTGGTTTCAAGGGAAGGTAACCAGGAGTGTGTGTATAGAGAGGTGAAAACACAGAGTGGTTACAAGGGAAGGTAACCAGGAGTGTGTGTATAGAGAGGTGAAAACACAGAGTGGTTACAAGGGAAGGTAACCAGGAGTGTGTGTATAGAGAGGTGAAAACACAGAGTGGTTACAAGGGAAGGTAACCAGGAGTGTGTGTATAGAGAGGTGAAAACAGAGAGTGGTTTCAAGGGAAGGTAACCAGGAGTGTGTGTATAGAGAGGTGAAAACACAGAGTGGTTACAAGGGAAGGTAACCAGGAGTGTGTGTATAGAGAGGTGAAAACACAGAGTGGTTACAAGGGAAGGTAACCAAGAGTGTGTGTATAGAGAGGTGAAAACACAGCGTGGTACAAGGGAAGGTAACCAGGAGTGTGTGTATATAGAGGTGAAAACACAGAGTGGTTACAAGGGAAGGTAACCAGGAGTGTGTGTATAGAGAGGTGAAAACACAGAGTGGTTACAAGGGAAGGTAACCAGGAGTGTGTGTATAGAAAGGTGAAAACACAGAGTGGTTACTATTGAAGAGTACCTAAGAGTGGTTCTTGTGAGGTGAATGCTATGAAAGGGATGTATAGAGAGGTGAATGCATGCAGTGGTTACTGGGGAAGGATAATTCGGAGTGCTGGTACAAGCTGAATACAGGGAGTGATGTGTTAATAATCATGTTATTTTATCTGTTAGCATTGAAAATCTATAGAAAAGTCCAAAAAATATTCAAATATTGAAAATCATGAGTACTGCTACAGATTTATATCAAACTGATGGCAAGTTATTTCATCATCAGTGCACCATATTGGATATTGTTCAGAATCACATGATTACAGATTAAATTGAATCCTTTTGTAGAAATCTTTATAAGTCCCAACCACTTAATTAGTATAAAAAATCATTACTTCATTGATTAAGCAGTATTTATAATTTTGTGAATTGTGTAAGACTTTGTATAACAAAGATAGAGTTATTAATATAAAGAGGACCTTGATGTTATAGGACAACACAATTCTCCACGCTAACACACAGAAATGTATGGAGGTATCGGTAGACGGTCAAAAGCTCCTGATGCGGACGTGTTCTGGTATCGACCGACAACTGTGGCAGTGGAAGAAGAAACCACCAAACGGCATTATACGGGACACAGTTTAGGCACATCATTGTTTGTTATCATGTTGATATACAGAATTGTTATTTTTCTATGCAAGAGATGTTATTTTTATAGAGATCCTGAGAATAGTATTTTATAATAACATACCTGTGATTACAACTATGACACAATGTTCCGAGGACCAATCATTCCACGCAGCCCTCTACTCTCATAGGTATAGAGGGATGGCTGCCATTTTATACTATGATGATAACCCAGTTCAATGTGGATGGCCTCTATTCGAGAATGGAATACCTCCATTTATAATGTGGATGTGATGTCCACTGTAAAAACATGTATGTGATGTACTACTGGAACAGGGAGGCTTTTCTTTATCAGGTCATATCTGTTTAAATGTTTCCAACTGAAAGTCATTGTAAACTGATGTTACAGTGTAACAGTGATATCTGTACAACTGACCACCAGTTTTACTTATCTTGCTTACAATTTTCTGGTTATTCTTGTGAGATTTCCTGTGTTTAAGAAGATACATCATAGCTTGACCATAGATTGGGTGTTCAAGTTGTAGGCAGTGATGGTTCATAAAAGTAATACATCATATATCAACTTAATTAAAAGGAGTCAAACCATATGGCCTTCAGAATATGTCTTTCAGGAAAATTCAATTTCAAACCTCAAAATATATATTTTACCTTCAGAATAACTTCAATTTGACCCCAAATATAATTCTTACATATTGACTTTCAGTGCAACTTAAAGTTGGATCCAAAAAATGATTTACATGTACAATCTGACCTTCAGAATAACTCGCTTCACTGCATTTAAAATGCAGAATATCTTCAAATTTATTTTGAGAACAACTAATAAATTCAACACAAAAGTACAAATACCACAAAAGTTTGGTGATACATGTACTTGAAGAGTGTTTAGTAGTTACCAAAGTGCTAAAAGTTCACCTACAAGACAATGAGCTCAGTAGAATGACAGTGTTTTAGTTGATAACCCCTTCTGAGATGACCTTAGATAAACAGCATCTCACGTAGGAATCAAATTGATTTTTTATAGTATAGATGTTATGGGATATAATTTCTTGCTTTTTTATCACAAAATTCTAATGTTTAAAATTTAATTAGTAGGAAGTGTTTGGTAAGGAAAATCTAGTACTATCAAATCATCCTTGCTCAATCATCATATATGTGATTTTTTTTAAATGTTTTGAAGTCACACAATATGTTTTATAATAAACAAAAGATTTAGAAATCCATTTTATTCACAAATGAATTTGTTTGTTTTATGAGTTGTGGTCTGTGACCTGAGAGATGATTTACTGCATTTGAGAGTTACCCCCCTTTAATTACAATATAATGATATTAATAATTGTGCTGTTTAAATTTTATAAAATTATGTGATTTGTTGAATGTTCATTGTTTGTATATAAAACAAAGTGTATAAAATACCTATTTTGATAAGTTGCTGTGTACATAAAGCTGCCAAAACCAATGTATTGTGTAAAGGTCTGAGTGTGGGAAAAACACCCCCTATATGTCTAATATTGTGTACAGGTCTGAGTGTGGGAAAAACACCCCCTGTATGTCTAATATTGTGTAGAGGTCTGAGTGTGGGAAAAACACCCCCTATATGTCTAATATTGATTCACATTTCCAGTTGATCTGGAATATTCTATTTTTGTTGTAAGAGGCTATAGTATTGCGTTGTAAATGTGTTAACTCTAAACAAACATTTTGATATGCTTGTATTAAACACAATTCTTATATATGATGTTATCATTCGCCAAACACACTAGTTGTCTGAGTTATATAACCATTTACAAAATGAGCCCTCCTTGTCCACATACTTTCGTTTTTAGATATCATATTTGTCCTCAATAGGTCCTGGTCCAACACATTACCAATGAGTCAAAGTCAGGGGATGGGGTTATTGTTGATTTGATTGTAGCCACAGTACATATATATAGGTGGGTTATTGTTGATTTGATTGTAGCCACAGTACATATATATAGGTGGGTTATCGTTGATTTGATTGTAGCCACAGTACATATATATAGGTGGGTTATTGTTGATTTGATTGTAGCCACAGTACATATATATAGGTGGGTTATTGTTGATTTGATTGTAGCCACAGTACATATATATAGGTGGGTTATCGTTGATTTGATTGTAGCCACAGTACATATATATAGGTGGGTTATTGTTGATTTGATTGTAGCCACAGTACATATATATAGGTGGGTTATCGTTGATTTGATTGTAGCCACAGTACATATATATAGGTGGGTTATCGTTGATTTGATTGTAGCCACAGTACATATATATAGGTGGGTTATCGTTGATTTGATTGTAGCCACAGTACATATATATAGGTGGGTTATCGTTGATTTGATTGTAGCCACAGTACATATATATAGGTGGGTTATCGTTGATTTGATTGTAGCCACAGTACATATATATAGGTGGGTTATCATTGATTTGATTGTAGCCACAGTACATATATATAGGTGGGTTATTGTTGATTTGATTGTAGCCACAGTACATATATATAGGTGGGCTTATTGACCAGAAGATATAGCATATAAATGTATGTTTATTTTTGTAGCTTTTTCTAAAGTAGAAACCAAGCTATAGATATTTGGTAGATTAATTCCCCGAGAGAATTGCCTGTATTTATCGGAGAACACAGTGCTATAACCTTGCTGTGGCACACTAGATAGACACATAACAGAATTAGTACCAAAGTGTCGGAATTTTGAATTTTTCTTTAAAAAAAAAAGCCTTTATCATTGGCATCACACTTTTGTTCCAAAGGGGAAAGCTGTCAGATATAATAGATTTCTTTGTTAAACATTCAGTACAAAGGTCAGAAACACCTGATGTTTTGATCTAAATGCTTTCAGATAAATTCTTGCTTAAAGTTTCAATGTCAAATGTTTCCGCAAAATAAATCTATAGCTACATAATTGTGCACACACCCCCACCCCCTCCCCACATAACCCTACCCCCTACCCACACACCCCACCCCCTCCCCACATAACCCTACCCCCTACCCACACACACCCACCCCTCCCCACACACCCCTACTTTGGACCTTTTGCACACATTTGTTGGTTCTTATGGTAAATGTAACCAAGGACTAATTTTATGACCAATCACCTTGAGAAGAATACTTTCATTGATTTGTATACTCCTCAGAAACCAAGGTATTTATGGGTAATGTAAGTTTCTACCGTACTGGGAATCTGCTGTATATTTATCAGATCATGTATCATCTTGCAAGGCGATGTGGAGTTTTATCTTAGAGTAGTGTAGTTTTATTTACCAATAGTATTAGAGACAAAGTATATTAGTATCACTTAAAACAAAGATATATTCACATATAAAGGTGTCAATGAAATCACATTAAACATATTTTCCTATTTCATAAACCATTTTTTTCCTGTGATGACAATATTTATAAGTGCGTATGTAAACCATTGTTCGTAAGTATTATATGAATACACATTCCACCACTGGTATCATTCCAGTACATGTGCTGGTATTAGAGATATGTGTATCTGTGTTGGTATTGTAAAAGTAGTGAGATTGGTAGACAAGGGTTTAATTCATAAGAACCTGTACTTCTCTCAAGTGTTTCTAGTGTTCATTAAAGAAACTGAATGAAAATTGTTGATTAATCAATCACAGCTCTTAGACATCTGTAATAAAAATATTTACACCCCAGTAGTTAACACATTTTATGTGTAGCCCATGGTCAAAAATAGTAACTGCCAAACCAACATTTTTAATCATAAAAAATGAGCAAGTTTTGAGGGATTAATTAATGAATCGAGTACCTTTTAAAGGTATGCATTTCATTACATGATATTTGAGGCATCCTTGTGACTGTGGCTGTCATATCTTTTAAAAAATTTATTCTTTTATTTCCTTGAGATCTGGCAATGGTTTAACGGCCTGATAGATGTAGTCTTTTTCAGCCTTGTAATGAACTGGGATACTGTTTTGGTCATTGGTCAAGATAAGAGACCAAGCTAGGTCACTTTCAATAGATGGCAGGTTATTAGCGGTGCCACAAGTTGGCAGGTTATTAGCGGTGCCACAAGTTGGCAGGTTATTAGAGGTGCCACTAGTGGGCAGGTGATTAGGGGTGTCACCAGTGGTCAGGTCATTAGGGGTGCCAACAGTGGGTAGGTCATTAGGGGTGCTAACAGTGGGCAGGTTATTAGGGGGGTCACCAGTGGGTATGTCATCATGGGTGCCAACAGTGGGAATATCATTAGGGGTGCTAACAGTGGGCAGGTTATTAGGGGTGCCAACAGTGGGCTGGTCATTAGGGGTGCCAACAGTGGACATGTTAACAGGGGTGCCACAAGTGGGCAGGTTAACAGGGGTGCCAGCAATGGGCAGGTTAACAGTGGTGCCACCAGTGGGCATGATAACAGGGGTGCCAGCAATGGGCAGGTTAACAGGGGTGCTAGCAATGGGCAGGTTTACAGGGGTGCCAGCAATGGGCAGGTAATCAGGGGTGCCAACAGTGGACAGGTCATTAGGGGTGCCAACAGTGGGCAGGTCATTAAGGGTGCCAACAGTGGACAGGTTATTAGGGGTGCCAACAGTGGGCAGGTTAACAGGGGTGCCAGCAATGGGCTGGTTAACAGGGGTTCCACCAGTGGGTAGGTAATCAGGGGTGCCAACAGTGGGAAGGTTATTAGGGGTGTCACCAGTGCGCAGGTCATCAAGGGTGCCAAAAGTGGGCAGGTCATTAGGGATGCCAGCAATGGGTTGGTTAACAGGGGTGCCAACAGTGGGCAGGTTATTAGGGGTGCCAACAGTGGGCCGGTTAACAGGGATGCCAACAGTGGGCAGGTTATTAGGGGTGCCAACAGTGGGCCGGTTAACAGGGGTGCCAACAGTGGGCAGGTTATTAGGGGTGCCAACAGTGGGCCGGTTAACAGGGATGCCAACAGTGGGCAGAGGGGACTGTCAGAGAGCAGGTATATTTTTGGGAGCCAACTACAATCACTCTGTTTTATTTATTAATGCATTTATAAACTACATGCTGTATAAAGGTCAAAATATGAATACAGCACTATCATAAATATGTTTTGCCACAAATTACTGTCTTACATTCCACTATTATCTCTCATTCCTTACATTGTGACATAATCTGTTATTCCATGGAGTCATACATTTTACAAGGATGTGCTATATATATCTTTATTTTATACATGCTACTAATTTAATACATGTATATTAGATTACATTTGATGTTCAATGATGTTTTCAATAAGAAATTGTGTCAAAGTATTTAATTTCATGATATTTCTATGTTGTTGAGTAAACTGGTCTGGTGTGGTAGTGATGTTTTCTCATTACAGATTACAAAAATATTACCTATAGACACTAAGGTTGTTGACAGTCTATACTAAACTCTTTAATGTCAGGTCACAATTAATTTGTCAATCAGTAGATGTTTTTTTCAGATTTCTCATTGATGATATATTATAAAGAGGAATATTTTTATTCCAGTTTATATGTCTTCAAATGAATTGTCATGTTTTATTTCACTAAGTCCATCAAGGAATCACGAGATTCAAGGTTACAGAGGAATGTCAGAAAAGGTCATGTTTACAGGTGTTACATGTATGTAGGAATGTCAGACAAGGTACTGTTTACAGGTGTTACATGTATGTAGGAATGTCAGACAAGGTACTGTTTACAGGTGTTACATGTATGTAGGAATGTCAGACAAGGTCAAGGTACTGTTTACAGGTGTTACATGTATGTAGGAATGTCTGACAAGGTACTGTTTACAGGTGTTACATGTATGTAGGAATGTCAGACAAGGTACTGTTTACAGGTGTTACATGTATGTAGGAATGTCAGACAAGGTACTGTTTACAGGTGTTACATGTATGTAGGAATGTCTGACAAGGTACTGTTTACAGGTGTTACATGTATGTAGGAATGTCAGACAAGGTACTGTTTACAGGTGTTACATGTATGTAGGAATGTCAGACAAGGTACTGTTTACAGGTGTTACATGTATGTAGGAATCTCTGACAAGGTACTGTTTACAGGTGTTACATGTATGTAGGAATGTCAGACAAGGTACTGTTTACAGGTGTTACATGTATGTAGGAATGTCAGACAAGGTACTGTTTACAGGTGTTACATGTGTAGGAATGTACAAGGTGTTACAGGTGTTACATGTATGTAGGAATGTCAGACAAGGTACTGTTTACAGGTGTTACATGTATGTAGGAATGTCAGACAAGGTACTGTTTACAGGTGTTACATGTATGTAGGAATGTCAGACAAGGTACTGTTTACAGGTGTTACATGTATGTAGGAATGTCAGACAAGGTACTGTTTACAGGTGTTACATGTATGTAGGAATGTCAGACAAGGTACTGTTTACAGGTGTTACATGTATGTAGGTTTACAGGTGTTACATGTATGTAGGAATGTCTGACAAGGTACTGTTTACAGGTGTTACATGTATGTAGGAATGTCAGACAAGGTACTGTTTACAGGTGTTACATGTATGTAGGAATGTCAGACAAGGTACTGTTTACAGGTGTTACATGTATGTAGGAATGTCAGACAAGGTACTGTTTACAGGTGTTACATGTATGTAGGAATGTCTGACAAGGTACTGTTTACAGGTGTTACATGTATGTAGGAATGTCTGACAAGGTACTGTTTACAGGTGTTACATGTACGTAGGAATGTCAGACAAGGTACTGTTTACAGGTGTTACATGTATGTAGGAATGTCAGACAAGGTACTGTTTACAGGTGTTACATGTATGTAGGAATGTCTAACAAGGTACTGTTTACAGGTGTTACATTATATGATTTTGTGACTGTGTTGCACATCTTCTTGTCTTGTTTTATTGCTGAGGGGATAAAAAAATACTATCAAATTAGTTGCTTTAATTCTTTTTTTTCTGTCCCAGGCCTGGGTTTATCATTGATACAATTTGTAAAATGTAACAGGTTTCAGACTTCTGTACCAGGCCTGGGTTTATCATTGATACAATATGTAAAATGTAACAGGTTTCAGACCTCTGTACCAGGCCTGGGTTTACTTGAGGTTAGATATGGTACAATGCTCAAGGTTTCAGAATTTTGTGCAGGCCTGGGTTTATTAGTAATTTGATTTTGTACAATGTGTCCAGGTTTTATTCTTCCCAGGCCTGGGCTTATTAGGAGGTAAATATGGTACAGGGTGTGTCTTGGTTTTACACAAAATATTTAGATAATTATTCCTTATACCTAATTGATTCTGAATAAAATGTTTACATGAATCATGAAATATTTCAAAGTAATTAGTCACATTTAGTTCTTTCATTATTTCTTACTACAGCTATTCTAGAGTATCATAAAACATCTCACTGGTCTCTGTAAAGCATACTTGAATTTGACTGATTTTTTTTTAATTATTTTCAAAATTTCAAGTCTGAATAGGATTTGTGTTGAGGACTTAATGAAGTAGGAATTTCTGTATTGTATGGGACATTTTGAATTTTGATCAATTATCATATCAAGTTCATTAAAACACTCTTAAAACAGGTTCTTTTTTTCTACTGTGTATGTATATATGAGGAACAGTTGTTATTACAGATATTACCATCTTAGTGATAGTTTTAGGGTTAATGCCAGAATATATCATTTACCTCTTGGGGCTATAATGTCCACAGGTATTGACTAGACATCACAGGTGTAGACCTGACCTCATAGATGTGAACTTAAGACATCAGAGGTGTGGACTAGTCCTCATAGGTTGGTAATAAAACCTGACAGTTAATTATAGGTAAAACGCAGGATGTACATTTGTTGCTATGGATACTTGTGGAAGAGCTGTTCACGGGTTAGTGCCTTCATCAGAAAATAAAACAATTTATGAATGATAAAATGTCTGGTGTTCTTTTTTTATTGTAAAGTTTTATTTACCTATCTAGCAGCCTATTTATCAGAGAGTCTTAACAAAGTTATATTCAAGTCACGGGTTAACAGCAATACCCGAATAAATGTCCCACAAAACTACACCTCACTGGAGGATTACAAGCTTTACTCAGATAAATGCCCCACAAAACTACACCTCACTGGAGGATTACAAGCTTTACTCAGATAAATGGCCCACAAAGCTAACCTCACTGGAGGATTACAAGCTTTACTCAGATAAATGGCCCACAAAGCTAACCTCACTGGAGGATTACAAGCTTTACTCAGATAAATGGCCCACAAAACTACACTTCACTGGAGGATTACAAGCTTTACTCAGATAAATGGCCCACAAAGCTAACCTCACTGGAGGATTACAAGCTTTACTCAGATAAATGCCCCACAAAACTACACTTCACTGGAGGATTACAAGCTTTACTCAGATAAATGGCCCACAAAGCTAACCTCACTGGAGGATTACAAGCTTTACTCAGATAAATGGCCCATAAAACTACACTTCACTGGAGGATTACAAGCTTTACTCAGATAAATGCCCCACAAAACTACACCTCACTGGAGGATTACAAGCTTTACTCAGATAAATGGCCCACAAAGCAACACCTCACTGGAGGATTACAAGCTTTACTCAGATAAATGTCCCACAAAGCAACACCTCACTGGAGGATTACAAGCTTTACTCAGATAAATGGCCCATAAAACTACACTTCACTGGAGGATTACAAGCTTTACTTTGATAAATGTCCCACAAAGCTAATCTCACTAGAGGATTACAAGCTTTACTCGGATAAATAGCCCACAAAGCTAACCTCACTGGAGGATTACAAGCTTTACTCAAGTAAATGCCCCACAAATCTACACCTCATCGGAGGATTACAAGCTTTACTCAGATCTTAATACCTCAATACGTGGCCAACGTTCAACACACCTCCCTGCTACCTCAATACCTGGCCAACGTTCAACACTTTTCCCTGCTACCTCAATACGTGGCCAACGTTCAACACTTCTCCTTTATACCTCAATACGTGGCCAACGTTCAACACTTCTCCCTGCTACCTCAATACGTGGCCAACGTTCAACACCTCTCCCTGCTACCTCAATACGTGGCCAACGTTCAAAACTTCTCCCTGTTACCTAAATACGTGGCCAACGTTCAAAATTTTTCCTTTATACCTCAATACGTGGCCAACGTTCAACACTTCTCCCTTATACCTCAATACGTGGCCAACGTTCAACACTTCTCCCTTATACCTCAATACGTGGCCAACGTTCAACACTTCTCCCTGCTACCTCAATACGTGGCCAACGTTCAACACTTCTCTCTGCTACCTCAATACGTGGCCAACGTTCAACACTTCTCCCTGCTACCTCAATACGTGGCCAACGTTCAAGAGTTCTCCTTTATACCTCAATACGTGGCAAACGTTCACCATTTCTCCCTGCTACCTCAATACGTGGCCAACGTTCAACCCTTCTCCCTGCTACCTCAATACGTGGCCAACAGACAACACTTCTCCCTACTACCTAAATACGTGGCCAACGTTTAATACTTCTCCGTTATACCTCAATACATGGCCAACGTTCAACACTTCTCCCTGCTACCTCAATACGTGGCCAACGTTCAACACTTCTCCTTTATACCTCAATACGTGGCCAACGTTCAACACTTCTCCCTGCTACCTCAATACGTGGCCAACGTTCAACACTTCTCCCTGCTACCTCAATACGTGGCCAACGTTCAACACTTCTCCCTGCTACCTCAATACGTGGCCAACGTTCAACACTTCTCCCTGCTACCTCAATACGTGGCCAACGTTCAACACTTCTCCTTTATACCTCAATACGTGGCCAACGTTCAACACTTCTCCCTGCTACCTCAATACGTGGCCAACGTTCAACACTTCTCCCTGCTACCTCAATACGTGGCCAACGTTCAACACTTCTCCCTGCTACCTCAATACGTGGCCAACGTTCAACATTTTTCCCTGCTACCTCAATACGTGGCCAACGTTC